CGGGAGCCAGGCCGGGGGGGAGGGGCTCGCGTGTGAGCGCCTGGTGGCCAGGCCTATATCCACGGGCCCTGGTTGGGCTCAGCCTGAAACCACAACATGGAGCCACTCTTCAGGGGGCCCACCACCTGCTGGAGACGCTGTAGGGGGCCGGTGCATTGTGTTTTGAGCAGTGGCCGGGCCTGAGTGCCCGGCCGACCCAAACCTCGGACACCAACTCTGGTTTTGGGGAATTGGAATGTCACCTCACTGGTGGGGAAGGAGGCTGAGCTGGTGCAGGAGGTTGACAGATACTGTCTAGATATAGTCAGGCTCGCTTCCACTGACAGCTTGGGTTCTGGAACCATTCTTCTCGACAAAGGGTGGACCCTCCTCTATTCTGGCATTGCTCAAGGGGAGAGGTGACAGGCTGGTGTGGGCTTGCTTATAGCCCCCCCAGCTCAGTCATCAGGTGTTGGAGTCTACCCCAGGTGGATGAGAGGGTCGTTTCCCTGCACCTTTGGGTCAGGGAATGGTCTCTCACTGTCATTTGTGCTTACACACCTAATGGCAGTGCAGAGTACCTGGCCTTTTTAAGGTCCCTGAGGGGCATGTTGGATAGTGCTCCCACTGAGGACTCTGTCATTCTACTGGGGGACTTTAACGCCCACGTGGGCAACGACAGTGATACCTGGAGGTGCATGATTGGGAGGAACGGCCTCCCTGATCTGAACCCGAGTGGTGAGTTGTTATTGGATTTCTGTACTAGTCATGGTTTATTCATAACGAACATCATGTTCAAACATAGGGGTGTCCATCAGTGGACATGGCACCAGGACACCCTAGGTCAGAAGTTGATGATCAACTTTGTAGTCATTTCCTCTGATCTTTGGCCATATGTTTTGGACACTCGGGTGAAGAGAGGGGCTGAGTTGTCAACTGATCACCACCTAATGGTGAGTTGGGTTCAATGGTGGGGGAAAAAGCTGGACAGACCTGGCAGGCCCAAGTGTATAGTCAGGATCTGCTGGGAACATCTGGTGGAAGCCCCGGTCAGAAAGGTCTTTAACTCTCACTTCTGACAGAGCTTCAAACAGGTGCTGAGGGAGACTGGGGACATTGAGTCCGAATGGACTTTGTTCCAGTGCATGTTGGACTCCGGCAGGGCTGCCCTTTGTCACCAGTTCTGTTCATTATTTTTATGGACAGAATTTCTAGGTGCAGCCAGGGGCCGGAGGGAGTCCGGTTTGGGGACCACAGTATCTCGTCTCTGCTTTTTGCAGACGACGTTGTCCTGTTGGCCCCATCAAACCAGGACCTCAGGCATGCACTGAGGCGGTTTGCAGCCGAGTGTGAAGCGGCTGGGATGAGAATCAGCACCTCCAAAATTGAGGCCC